TGGAGTAGAGTGTGGCTGCTCTGCCATGGCTGCTTCCCTCTATCCTCGTGCCTTGTGCTCAGCCCCATCCTGGCATAGACAGATGAACAGATACCACTGAGTGTCATGGGTAGGCTCAGCTGTGGACCGAACACGCCAAAAATAAAACCATAGTGTTCTGTCTAGTAAAACTGGGTCTGCGCTTTACTGAGTCTTTTCTGGTCTTTATGGCTTGACCACATGTGCTGAGATGAGGGCTTATCTGGACCCTATGGCTGAGGTAGATGACCCTATGGCATGACAGTGTGGTTAAGGGGATATGTGACTGATGATGTGGCTGTGCCAGCGTGGGCCGCTTAATGGATCCATGTAAGCTGTGGGCTAGGATCCATGGTTTGTCTTCAGCTCTGTCTTGGTTAGCTCCCCCTCCCTCTCATTCTTCCCTTTAAAAATAAGACACAAAGACCCACAGAACACATTTTCTCAATGACTGATGGGTGTGAAAAATGGCTAGTGCAGTGGAAGAGTGTGGATCAGTAGGCATTGGGGTGACGTTTAATACGGGTAGTATGTTTAGAAACTTTAGGGTTTAAATATGGAAAGACAGTGTCATGGAAGTGAGATTGAACCTTGTATTCATGACGGGTGGGGTACACGTGTGCATGCATACATGTGGAGGCCAGAGGTCCATTCCTCAGATGCTGTGTACTTTATCTTCTTTCCCCTGACTGTTTACATTGGTCTGGCTAGGCTGGCTAGTCAGCAAGCATCAGGGATTCTCCTGCCTCTCTGCCCCTCCCACTCTGGGATTGAAAATGCATGCCACCATAGCCAGCTTTTTTTTTTTTTTTTTAATGTGGGTTCTGGGCATGAGCTTAGGTACCCATGCGTGCATGGCAAGTACTTTACTGATAGAACCATCTCCCCAGCTCCATTTGGAACTTCAAAAAATATTTATTTCATGATTATGCGTGTTTGTCTGCATATGTGTATGTGCATCATGTTTGTGCAATGCCTGTGGAGGCCAGAAGAGGGTGTCAGTCAGTTCCCCCTGAAACTGGAGTTAGAGGCACTTTGTGAGCTACCTTGTGGGTACTGGGAACTGAGCTTGGGTTCTTTGGAAGGGTAGCCAGTGATCTTAACAGTTGAGCCGTCTCTAGCCCTACCCTTTGGAACTTAAAAAAAAAAAAAAAAAAAAAAAAGAACTCTAGTTCATGTTTTGAAAGACCTTAAAGAATGTATACTAAGTTGAAATTCCTGATGGAAAAATGAGAAAAAACAGTGAGAGATTCATAGTGGTTGGAAGCAGGTTTTCTCTGTATAGCCCGGGCTGTCCTGGAACTCACTCTGTAGACCAGGCTGGCCTCGAACTCACAGAGATCCACCTGCCTCTGCCTCCTGAGTGCTGGGATTAAAGGTGTGCCACCACTGCCCAGCATTAAACTAATTTCTAATGTGCCATTTTACTAACAGCTTTGAGTTATTTTCTTTGTCATACTATTATTATCACTATTATTATTTTTGGTGTTTTGAAGTGGGGTCTCACTGTAGGCCAGGCTGCCTGGAATTCACAGTGATCCACCTGCTTCTGCTTGCAAAGCTGGGATTATAGGGGTGCTCCACCAGATCCGGCTTTGGTTATTCACAGTGACCCTCAGTTGATCCACTTCATCGCAGATCTCTACTCCAGCCCTGCTGTCTGCAGACTTGGGTGCACTTGGCTGTTGGTGCCCATAGGTTTCTGAGGCTTTGTTCTTTGGAGTGGATGATCTCACCTGACCAGCTATTTTCTGCCAGCTCAGATTGGCCAGTGAGCCCTCTAGTGAATGTTTGCTGCAGTTAACTCTGCTCTCGTCTCAGAACATCTCCCTCACAGCTTCTCATTAGTTGCTTCTTGTTGATGTTCTGTGCCCCTGATTAGAATCTTCTTTCTGAGTCTGGCCCTCATCGTGTCTTAGAGCTGCTGTTTTGCCCTGTGCTAGGGTCTCCTTTCATGTTTTATGTTTCGTACTTGATTCTGTTTTGTTTACAGTGGGCATTTAGGATGAGGGCTGTGACTCTGTGGCAGAACCTGTGCCTAAACATTTAGCTCCTGCCTCTGTGGAAGGGGCTGGCTAACTATTGCCTAGGTGTTACTTGGCGATGAAGTCCCTGCTAGGTTAGCTAGTGATTGAATGGAGGCTTCTTCACTCCCTTGAAGCAGTGGCCCTCCAGCCGCTGCTGAGGGCCCATTGTGTGTTGGGACACACTTTCCCATCCCAGCAGGTCACAGATCTGCCTTAGCCCTGGCTTTATGCTTGTGCAGAGGTTCAAGGCTAGCTGGAATCCCTAAGTCAGGGCTTTCTTAACCTTCCCCCGCCCCCAAGTGCCCAGCACAACCCCTGTATGTGGTATGCTAGACTCCCAGAAATGCAGGGTTTTTCAAAGCTCTTGTGGGCACTTACTCATTCCCATTTTTCCTCTTGAGCTGTTTGGTCAACATCTTGTCAGTCCCAACAACAGAGCCTTCTCAAGTGCTGCAACATTAAAACAACTCCTCCTTCAAGATAGGGGCTTGCTATGTACTTCTTTCTGGCAGGCCACAACTCCCTATAGCCCAGGCTAGCTTTGAGCTCACAGCAGTCCTTCTGCCTTAGCCTCCTGAGTGATGGGAGTACAGGTGTGAGCCACTGTGCTGGGCCAGCAGTGTTAAGCTTATTTAACACTCTGCATTTGGAACAGCTGCCCTGCAGGTAAGACACATCAGATCAAACCTCCACAGTGGTTTTCAGCAATCTGCCAGGCAGGTCAGCCGCTGCCAGCTTTTTAGAAATTAGGTTTGGTAAGCTCAAAGCCTGCCTGTCCCATGCCCCCACCCCAATACTGCTGGTTGTGTAGCTATTGTAAATGTGAGGCTGTTGTTTTTCAGGGTGCTGAAGGAAGAGGTAACACAAGTTCAAGTCCAGCCTCACAGTCCTTACCAAGTTCAGCCTTTCTTTTTCCCTTGTTTTAAAGACAGGGTCTTACTATGTAGTTCTGGCTAGCCTGGAACTTACTGTGTAGACTAAGCTGGCCTTGAACTCACATATGACTGCCCGCCTTTCGTGAGTGCTTGGATTAAGGCATGCATCACCATACTCTGCCTTCTTTTTAATTTTTATTTTACTGATTGATTTATTTATTGAGTACTTAATCTTTAGAACGTTCATTACTTCCCATGGTTCTGAAAATGTCAATAAAATATCTGTTGATACATGCTTAAGTGTAGGTGGATGCAAGCCACGGTTTACACATGGAGGTCAGAGGACAACTTAAGATGTCCATCCTCACCTTCCATCTTGAGTTAAAGACTTAATCATTGTGTATATGGTGTTTTGTATGGTGTACATGTTTTTAGGGGACGTGTGTGTGTATGGTGTGCATGTGTGTATGGTATGCTCGTATCACAGCATGTGTATATGTATATGGAGGTCAGAGAACAACTTCATGAATTGGTTTTCTGCCACCTTCATGTGGGTTCTGGGGATCAAACTCAAGTTGTCAGGCTTGCACAGCAAGCACTGTAACTACTGAGCCATCTCCCTGGGTTTCTTGTTCACATTGTGTATGTGTATTAGCTGGCCCTTGGATTTCAGGCATTCTCCTGTTTTTCTTTGCCTCCCACCTTTCCATAGGAATCAGGCTGCTATGTTCAGCTTTATCTGGACTCTGAGGATCCAAACTCAGGTCCTTACACTGCAGCAAACACCAGACCCACCAACCCATCTCCTCAGCCCATTTTCCTTTTCCCCTGAAGGAACTAGTCAGACCAAGAGCCTCACACATGCTAGCTAAGCATTCTGCCACTGAGCTATAGCCCTAGCCCAACCTTCATTTTTGGTAGTGCTGTAATTGCCACCGTGGAGGAGCAGACTTTGAGACATCTGCACACCCCCATCCCAGCTGGTCTCCCTCAGTCACGTTCTCTTCCTTCCTCTGCCAAGGTCTGACGTGGTCCCAAGGAGTGGTAACAAGTGTAGGTTCTTGTAAGGTGCTGGCCCACTCTGTTTACCAGGAGTGAGCTTCAGTTTTAGGATGGCAGCAAACATGGCCTCCATCTTGTATCTCCAGTGCACTCTGTAGGCTGGTTGTGTTGATCTGTGGAGTTAGTTTCTCATTGGCCATGAGAGTCCATACTTTGTACTCTGGCCAGCTTTGTGCATTGTGCTGTGATGAAGTAAGCCTGCTGTACCCCTAATGAGGGCTGGAAAACAACATCCTGAGAGTTCAAAAGTCAGTTCCTCCCGATGCTGTGGGGACTGAAGATTTGTGCCAGATGCAACAGTCATTTCTCCACCATGTATTGTGGTCCTGTTCAACAGCACAAGTGTCATATTAATACTGTTACTACGCTTTTATCTGTACATATAAGAATTCTCGGCCAGGCATTGGTGGCACATGCCTTTAATCCCAGCACTCGGGAGGCAGAGGCAGGCAGATCTCTGTGAGTTCGAGGCCAGCCTGGTCTCCAGAGAGAGTGCCAGGATAGGCTCCAAAGCTACACAGAGAAACCCTGTCTCAAAAAAACCAAAAAAAAAAAAATTTCTCCATGTAGCATAAATTTGAATTTTATGCAGTCAGAAATTTAGTTGATAAAGCCTTTCACATCACAGGCCATCAGACTTGCAATTTGTAAGGTGGTCATGCAACTCTTTCCACACACTCTTCCAGAAAGCTCTGTGTGCTTATGTGGTGTTTGCCGTGTTCATGTTTGTTCTTTTAGCATTTTGTGTATTGGTGCATTTTTTTCTCTTTCATTTGTTAGATGATAATTTATAACACCATCTAAAATGTGATGTTACATGGTAGTATAACAGTTTTGAAATCTTGAAAGATAAAACTGGAAACATTTGCTTGTATTTTTTCCACCTCAGAGTGTTTTGTTAATGAGACGTTTTATGCTGCCATAAGCCTGGGGCTATAATATAGGTGTTGATTGATTTTGGATGGCAAGGCCTCTCTAATTGCAGATCTTGACATTTGCGTCCCTTGTGCTGTTCTAGGTGAGCAAGACATGGAAGATGATTGCTGAAGACGAGGTGCTGTGGTACCGGCTGTGCCAGCAGGAGGGACACCTTTCCAAGAACAGGATCTCTGATTACACCTGCTGGAAGCTCATCTTGCAGGAGTGCCTGGCCAAGGAGCATATGTTAAGAACCAACTGGAAGGTAGGCAGTGGCTGGTGGCACCCCTGAAGCAAACAGTCTGCAGGGACACTGGCCTGCAGGCCTGCAGGCCTGCAGGCCTGCAGTTATGGCCTGAGGCTCATTCCCAGAGTGGAGGGAGCGGGGAGTGCCGAGCAGCCCCAGCCTCCTGTGACTGCCAGTTTCAGCATCTTCCTTTACAGTGGCCCCTCTCTCAGCCTTGGGTCTACAGCTTCCTCTTGCTGTGCAGGAAGGGGTCTGAGGTGGGCTGTCTGACACCACCTTTCCTGGCTGGTTAGGGTCATTGGAGTCTTGCTCTATCAGACCCCTCCCCCTTTCTCTTCCTCTCCTCCCTGAGGACTGACAAGGTAGCAGCATCTTGCACACAGGCACAGGGAGAGGCGCTTGGAGGCCCCTGCAGAGCTGCTGCGGGAGAGGTGGCATGGTGCTGAGTGCTGTCTGCTCTTCCCTCACGTAACCCTTGGCTTGCCACCCTGGCATTTATCACTTTGAAGCTCTACAGAAATATTAGATCACAGCTAAGCATTTGCAGGGAAGCATTTCTGGAAGAGCAAGCTGTCAGGAAGTGTGTTTCAGGGCTGTGTGAGGTGCAGCAAGGAGGTGGTACATGACCAAGCTGCTTTCCTACCTAGGCAGTTAGAAATTCACCCATTGGGGATTGGGTAGAGCTGGGCTCTCCTCTCACTTAAAGGTCAATCCATATAGACTTTGAGGCAAGAAAGCCTTTTCATTACTGGTGGTGACATATTGCCTATGTGCATGTCTGTCACTAGTCACCTTGTAACCAGATTACTGACCAATGCATTGACTCTATAACATCATTGAACAGTGCTTTCCCCTATGGGATGGCTAGCTTCAGCACTGGTGATGTTGGGCCAGCTCTTTGCAGGACACCAAGCAGCCCCCCAGGGTCCCCACTAGATGCCAATATCACTCTGCCCCTATTGTGGCACACAAGATGTCTTCAGGCATTGCCAGGTGTCCCCTGGGTGGCAAATTGTTCCTAGTTAAGAACTAGTCATCGATGGAGAATTGGCCAAGCCAGTCTTCTAAGCCCACAGAAACACTGCCAACTCAGTAGGATCTCACTGGCCCTGTGATGTCTGTATCCACGGAAGGTAATAGGACGTAGGCTCGTTTGGAGCCTGCCTGCTTGATTAGGTCTTCTGATGGGCCAACAGAATGATCTGTGGTAGAAAGCTGCTCAGATGAAGCCCAGCTTGATATAGGCCCGCAGTCCACCTGAAGGCAGAGGGAAGGAAGGCTTAGAGCTGGGCTTTCTTACTTTTCTGTCCAGAGACTTGGGAACCAGAGAGTGAGCTTGTCCCTGGTGCTGAATTTGGGGATGTTGGAGCCAAGGGAAATCAACAGCTCTGCTTATGCTGCTGCTTTGGGGTGTGGGGTTGGGTGGGGACAAAGGGAGTGGGACAGGGTGTCCTCATTCGGGCTATTTATGGTAGAAGTAAAGAGCATTTGGCATTCTATAACAATTCACAAGGAAGATATAATAGCTATCATCCAGTGTCTGCTCACTGGTTAGATGAGTAGCAGCACATGAGGGGCTCCTGGCATCCTGGGTCACCTCCCAGAAGTGTGAGCAGTGAGGACCACCTGGTGATGGATCACTCACTAAGGTGGAGATCTTAGTGCAGTTTGGAAAGAGCCCTTCATGGCATCGACACATGTAAGGGGCATCGTGGCAGGTGTTAACCTCTGCATGCTTCCATTCTCATCTGGGTGGCTCAGAGTAACATTGCTCACAGGCCTGTGGCTGGGGGGAAGGTGAGCCTAGGGATGGCCTGACGTTTGCCCTATGGAACCTGCCTGCCTATGTTCAGGGCTCTTGCCAAGTCACAGGTATGGTGAGTCCGACCTAATTGAGATTCATTTCAGGAGAGGCTGGGCAAGCAGTTGGCATGGTAACTTCTTGGTCAGTGTCTGGAAACCCCAGAGAGTCCCATAGAGTTCTGAGGGGCTCCTTCTAGGGCATGAGCCGTGAGTGCATGTCTGCCTGGACCTGCGTTCAGAGCTGACTGGAAATGGGTTGATGGGTGGGTAAAGTTGCCACGAAGCTTTTCTTCTGGCATTTGCCAGCCTGGCATTCTAAGAGCTCAGTGAGTGCAGGGGTGCAGTTTCATCTCAGGCTCTCTGCTTTCTCTCAGTACCTTCTCCCAGATATGCCCAGGCTCCCTTCAGCTCAGTTAGTTCCATCTGACAGCCCGGAAGGTCTTCTGCCTTTAGACTGTAGACGTGGCCTGAGGATTAAGTTAGGGCCATTATGCAAATTCTCTTGCCCAATTTCAGTGACATAGCTGTTTAATGGCTGTTGATTTTAATGGAATGGATGCCACCATATCTTTTCTAATGGCATAGTAATTACAGTGGCTAACAAGTGGGTGTGGTGTGTATGCATCTACTGTTAACCGTGGGCCAGGCCAGCAGAGCTGACAGTTCAAATAATGGAGTTGTCTTGAACACTGTGTTTATGCTTCCTGTGTTCTGCTTCCTACACAGATATTTAATATCCCTTCAGATTCCCTTCATTTTTATTTTTAAAATAATTAATACATTTTCTGAATTTGACAGCAAGTAACCTGTGCAGTCTGGAGAGTGATGTATGATAGCTATGCTTTGGGTGTTGAATGAATAAATTTATTAAGTATATATCAAGCAAAAGTAAAGGAATAAATAGTGGGTAGAGAGAGGCAGCAAGGAGCAAGAATCAAGCCTGGCGCTCACAACATCTAGCAGAGAGGACTGGAGTAGCCTGATGGGGAGAGCAAACAAAGGCAACACCATCAAATTGTGCCTAAAATACCCAGCAGAAATGGATTGGGAGGTTTGATGGAGAGCTGTTTGCATGGTTGAGCTTCCCATCATAGTGCTGTCCCAGGGCGAGCTTCCAGCTTCTCTTCCCAAGGTGTTTATGCAGTGCCACCTTTGTGGGAAGACTTTACCTTCTAGCAGTTGGCTTGGTAACTCCTTGGTACTCAGAGCTGAGAGGTTTGTTTGTTTTGTTTTTTTTTTTAGATCAAGGTCTATTATGTAGCCTTGGCTGTCCTAGAACTTACAGTGCAGACCAGACAGCCCCAAACTCACAGAGAGCCACTTGTCTCTGCCTCCCGGGTGCTGACTTGAGACTAAAGTTGTGCACCGCCACACCCATCTTAAGGATGAGATTTTTGTTGTTTTGTTTTTTGAGACAGGGTTTCTCTGTGTAGTCCTGACTGTCCTGGCTCTATAATCAGGCTGGCCTTGAACTCAGAGATTGGCCTGTCTCTGCCTCCCAAGGTCCAGGAAGGAAGAAATTTTAATGCCCCAGCTGCTTGCTGTTTTTCCCTCTCCCCAGTAGGGAGCCAGGGCCATGCTTGGGTCTAAAATGGGGAGGCAGCGTCTCCATGTCCCTTCAGAGACAGCTTCTCAGTGAGTTCAAACAGCACCTGACAGTTCACCAATATAAAGACCACTTCAGTGATTATGGGAAGTAGCCCAGAAGTCACACAAGTCCCTCTCAACACCCTACCTAATGTTCCCAAGGAGCAAGCCAAGTTCAGGGTTACGCTTTTCCCCAAACATTGTTTCCCTGAGAAGTCTGACACTTAGTCAGAATGGCATCTTTCCTTTATTCTTGAAGTTCTTTTTTACACATCCGTCCACTGAGTGCTTCCTCCTGTGAGCTGAACTGCTTACTGGACTTGATGTAGTAAGGACCTGCCATGCGCAGGGACACGTCCCTGGGTGCACATACTTCTTCCTATCTGGTGACATTCTGGGAACAGTCCAGCATCTCACATCCACTGTTCCATGCCATGCCTCTAGTATAGGCTCACCATGCATGGTGTTGCCATTTTATCCTTCTGAATGCCCATTGACTTGAGTGTGGTCCATGCCATTAAAAATGGCAATGACATGTATGTGAGAACAGAACACATTATCAAAGGGCTATCCCAAGACTATATAAACCACATTCCCCCTTTTCCTCAAACAGAATCGCAAAGGTGCTGTGAGCCAGCTGGAGCATGTTCCCGATGCCGTTTTGTGTGATGTACGCTCTCATGATGGTGTTGTCATCGCAGGGTAAGCAAAGCCATGTCCCTTCTGGTCCACTCAGTCTGTGTCTTCACCCTCTGCCCCAGCACCCTAGCTCAGCGGCACTTAGGGCTCTGTCCTAGGGCCTGGGAGGTGCACAGCAGGGGTGGGTTGTGGAGCAGGTGAGTACCTGTTTGTCCCAGTGGCTATGAAGACCCTGCTTGACTCCCCAGTGTGAAGCAAGGCTGTGGTCACATGCTCTTCCTTCCCCACCTGGTGCAGCTTCACCTCGCCTGCAGCCAGGTGTTTGTGGTCTCCTGGCTGAGAAGTTTAATATCAGCTTCTGTGAGTTCCTTTGGCTGGTGTTCCAGAACCCATGGTGAGGAATTCTTCACGGTTGTTACTGCAGACATCTGGACATGAGTTTCTTTATTGTACAATCAGATCAACTTTATTGTTTTGTTAGGATGTCTCTTGAGCTAGTATCTCCAAATGTAAACTTTATATACTTTTGTGATCTCAGGTTTTGTGTCAGAAAGTACACAGGGCCCCTAAGCTTCTGAGTCAGTTGGCTTTGTGGGAGCTGCCACAGAGCTCCTGCCAGGCAGAAATAAGAGCCAACCTTGGACTACACAGTCAATAATCACTCGGTCCTTCCCAACTTTTTCCCTCCTAAGTAGCATTCCTCAGTGAAGGCCAGCAAGATAGTCCAGAGAGTCAAAGTGCTGCCACTAAACCTGACTATAGCTGAGTCTGACCAGGAACACCCACAGTTATTGTATGTTGGAGGAAGGAAAGAACCAGTTTTTGCAAGTTGTACTCTGACCTCCATGTGTGCCATGGCACATGCACTACCCTCAAAAATAAATGAAATGTTAAAAAAAACAAAAAAAAAGAAAGAAAGAGAAAAGAAAGCCAAAGCATCATTTGAATTGAAATTCTAAACAGATTTTTGAAATATTTTATGGCAGGGGCTGCTTTTTAAAAATGTGTTTTTTTTTTACTTTATTTTTTTTTTTGTTTTTTTTTTTTTTTTTTTTTTGGGGGGGGGGGGGGGGAGCACATGTGTGCAGGTCAGAGAACAACTTTGCAGGATTCGTTTCTTCTGCTACTGTGTGGGTCCCAGGGATCAAACTCGGGCCGTCAGGTTTGGTATGAGACACTGTTTCACGATGAATCATCTCACTGGCCCTTCTGTTTTCAAAGAGGATCTGGCCAGGTAGGCCAACTTTCCTTAGCTTCTATTCACTGGCCTCATGTCCCTAAGAGAGACCCCTCAGCTCTTACATCTGAGTAGGTAACCTGCTGTCTGTCTGTCTGGATGTGGGCTGACCTGCAGCTTCATTGTGAGGTGTGGTTTTCTGAGCTCAGCTGACGACTGGTAGTAACCAGGCGGGGTTACAATATTCTGACTTCAGGGTTCTGCCTTAGCTCATAAGGCTGCAATGCTCAGGCTGGACTAAGGGTCATGGCAGATTGGAGATGTAGGCGACTCTTCTTCCCAAGTCCAGTTAGGCACTTCTCTGAACATGGAGCCCCAGAGACAGCAGCTCTAAAGGCAGCTGCTTTCCCCTCCCCCGCCATCCCCCCCAGGGGGTGGGGTGGGGGGATCTGCCCAGCACTAGATAGCCACCAAAGGCCCAGCCATACCAGTGTTCTGGGATCGATTGTGTGAAACTTAAGCTGCAGGTCAGAGAGGCTCCTCGGCTCCTCTCTCTGAGAGAAGCTCCAGTTGATGGCTCAGTCCGAGACCCTTCGAGCTTGCTTGTGTGCAGAGCATCTTGTGTTTATCATTAAAATTTTATCTGGCGGTTACAGTGCTTGTTTTCTGGGTCAGCTCTTGAATCCTTTTCATTTGAGACAGTGGTGTTTGTGGTTACCTCATTCCCAATCAATGTTGTGTTCTCCAGGCTCTCTGCAGTTGAGCATCTCCAAGGAGCCTCTTAAAGAGACAGCACTGCCTCTCCTTGCTTTCCTTCATGCTGATTTCCTTACTCTGCTTGTTTCTCTTTGTTTGACAGAGGTAGAACCTGACCAAAGGCTGCGGCCCATGGTTCAGCCTGTGAGATCTATGAGTGAAATGCAGGCTTGCTTCTCTCCACCTTGGCATCTGTTCTCAGTGCTCTTGCTTTGGCTCAGGCTGCATAGACCCAGGCTGGCATTTTATGGACTGGTCCTTGTCTTCCTGACATGGGTTTCCTGGCTGAGACTGAGCTGGGCCACATGTGCAGCTGTGACCCCAAAGCTGTCCACTGTCTTTGCCTCCTTTCCTGTCTTAGGCCTTCTTGATCGTCCCCTTCCTAACATACAGACTCCTGTATGGTCAGTGGCTAACTCCTAACTCAAGTGCACTGTGTATTTGTCACACTGTTGAGTCACCTGGCCACATCTGTGTGAAAACTGAGATATTGTAAATATACCGTGACATTAACTCAGTCTCAAATCAGTGAACTGTAGTAATTTCAAGACTCTGCAGCTGCTGCTACTAATGCCAGAGCATTCTCGACATCCTACTAAAAACCAACAACAACAACCAAAAAAATCTCACTTCCTGTTTTTTTTTTTTTGTTATGTTTTCCAAAACACGCTTCTCTGTGTAGCCCTGGCTATCCTGGAATTCTCTTGGTAGACCAGGCTGGCCTTGAACTCAGTGATCCGTCTGAGTGCTGAAACTAAAGTCCTGCACCTAGCAAACCCAGTCCCCATTCTTGATGGGCCATTTCAGTCCTGTCTTCCTCCCAGAGTTCCTGAGTATTCTTGACTAAGAACTGTCTCCCTCTCCGTGCGTGCGCACTCTTCTCATAATGCAGGTGGGTGATGGAGTATACAGAGAAGGTAATCTTATGGCTGTTCTGTCTCTCCAGATACTTTGTTTCTGTTATTTTACATAAAAGGAACTTTAACCTTTGCAGCATAACTCTTCTTTTCAACAATCTGTAAATGTCTTCTAAAATAGATGGTGTGTAGTGCCTGTTACCCTGGGGTGGTGTGTAGGGCTGTGTTACCCTGGGGTGGTGTGTAGGGCTGTGTTACCCTGGGATGGTGTGTAGGGCTGTGTTACCCTGGGGTGTTATGTAGGGCTGTGTTACCCTGGGGTGGTGTGTAGGGCCGTGTTACCCTGGGGTGGTGTGTAGGGCTGTGTACACTTTTGTATTGAATAAGTACCAACATTTCATACATAGCTCCTCTCCCCTCCTATTATACTCCACTTTCCCTAGAAAGGCAGGAAAATGTGTGGGATATTTTTGTTTGACTGATTGATTTTTAGTCTTCACAACTTTAAACTATGGGGTTTTAAGTTTGATCTTGTTCCATTACTCTGAGGTGTAAACAGTGGCAGAGACTCGGAGCCTGGATGGACACATGTACTGTTGCACTGTGCACACAGGCCATCCTCCCATCTCCTCTGAAATCTCTCACAGCATCATTTTTATTTTAAGAAGTCATTTTATTTTTGCAAAAGTGTTGGAGAGTGACTAAAGTCCCCCTGATCCTACAGTCTGCACCTGTGACTTGCTGGGCCCTGTGTGTTGGTTTCCAGGCTGGTTTTCTACTTATTTCCACATGATGCAATCAAAGCTGTATTGCATGTTATCACTTTTTCCTTGCAGTGTCTTTCCATGTTACTTTTCATTACTTTCTTAGACTTACTGCCAAATCCCTTAGCTAGTGCCTAGTTTTTTACTTCATTCCCTCAGTGGCAGATGTTAGTAAGCTGCTTTCTGTTTCCTACATGTTCTGAGAAGTGTGTTGGAGGATGACATGATAGGATGTATGTTCACAAGTTAGAAGGCTATGGTGTCACTAGGTTATACAGTCTCTTTGGGACATAGTTGTGTGTGGCCTGCTGCTGAGTGGACTGCTGTGTGGCACTCGGTTGTGGTAGCATTAAGATATTTCATGTGCATAATGTGCAGATGTTTCTGTTTCTGTTGTGGCGCCACAGATAGTCTTTAAAATTATAGAGCAGCGGCTGCTGCATAGACTCCATGTCCCTTGTAAAACGTGTGTCCAGTTAAAGTTTGGTGCTCTTGCTGTGTTGATATTTTTCTGGTTGGAATCCCTTAATGTAGATCTACTGGACTTAGAGCAGTTTTATATCTTCCAGATTCAGAAACTTTGAAAGTTCTTTCATAGCCTTCAAGTTTTCCAGTGTAATTCCGTGGTTTGAAGTTCCCAAACCATCCCTTAAGCTTACTCTAGTAAACACTTCCCTACTTCTTGATATTGCCGGAAATACCTCTGCCCTTAGGCCTCTGGTGGCTTTCTGGTTCATAATCTACCGGCCTTTTCAAAAACTCTTGAGCGGATTGCAGTTTGGACCTGTTGACTACACCTTCCTTGAGATGGCAGGGATCATGTGGTAAGCATCTTTGGCCAACAGCACCTGCTTGTGCCTAGCATCTAGGAGACATGGAGAACGAGTCCCAGGGTCCTAATGAATTCTCCATTGGGCCCTTGCTCCTGTCTTACTGAGTCTCCATAGCTTACTCTGCCAAGAGACCAGCATCTCAGAAAATGTGAGGGCTAGCCCAGGCTCCTTCTGCAAGGACCAGCACTTCGAACAACTCTGTTCCAGCTAAAATTTCCCACGACTTAGGAAAACATTGTGTTCAAGGTCACTCCAAATACAATCCCTTCCTGTCCTGCCAGGCTCCGTGTCCACCTGTATTCTCCATGCTCTGGCCCTTGCTGTGCTGGCCAGGTGGCCCAAGCCTACCTTCTATGTCACATTTCATCTGAAGAGCTGGTTGGCAATGCATCAGGAAATGTCTGGTTTGCCTCTTTTTTAGTTTTTAATTTTGTAGGTGACAACTCTTAAAATTTTAGAATGTTCTTAAAATTACATGTTGGAATTGGAAGTGTAGCTCAGGAGAAGTGTGTTTGCCTAGAAAACATGAGGTGTTGGGTCCTTTGGGCACAAAGGAAAAGAACATGAGTAGCATTTGATGTATTCATGGAGGAGAATTCTGGGGAGCAGAGAGCTGTGACAGCATTCCTGTTCTGTGGGGCTTGGGCCATTCTTCTCCCCAGTGGCCCTGTGGAAG